TTTATTCGACGCGAGTTAGTAATTTTCTCTTTCTAACATCATTCAAACAAGAACAAAAAACTGATCAATAATTCTGTGTAGAAAACACAGCTTATAACTTTATTTATATTTATATACCTTATAACCTTCCTTAACAGTGTTACACAGTTTTTACAGTACAGAGATACTGGTGATAATATTGATAATAATTATACTTCTTGTTATTGTATATTGCTTTTTTAGTAGTCCTTTTTTAATGGAAACAAAGAGAAAACATGTCAAGAATACACAAAGACACAAAGCAGAGACAGAAGAGAGAGAATGGTCTATGAGCAGTTAAATGGATCAGTTTTATCTCGTGGATCAGATTGGTCAAAAGAAAACGGCAACAATGAACGATGATTGAATGATGTGTAAATTTAGACTGCACAAAGCAGTTCCCGTGGTTACTCCTCCTCTGGGTGAAATAACTTGCAACAGACCGTATCGGCCATCTGGGACTCGAGTGGAGGAAAACATTAAAACCATAACGGTGACACAGAGCGGCTGTTTAACAGATTCACAGTGAGTTCAGAATACAAAACAAAGTAGTAACTAACCTTTTAAAAAAGTCTACAGTTAAACTGTGTTAATTCAGCTCAATGTGTAACAGTGGAAACACATAAAATATTACATTTAATTGATATTGTATTGGCATACAAACGCAGATTAAAGTGCTTTACGTGATATTAAAGCATTGATAAAAACATACAAGTAGCCATAGCAGTTGTAGTCCTAATAGCAGCAGTTGTAGTCCATTTGTTTCCAGTCAAGTCAGCGAGTGTGTGCGGGTCTTTAGATGTGAGCTGCAAACTTGATAAAAAACTGTGTCCGTGTTGTTGTTGTTTCAGTTTTATGAACAGTTTGACGATGATGAGATCGGCGCTCTGGACAACACAGAGCTAGAGGGCTACATCGAACCGGATAGCGCTCGCCTGGAAGAAATTATCAAAGACTACTTCATACAGAAAGAGAAGGAGTGAGTGAAGTTCATTTCCCCCCCCTCTTGAACCTGATTCAGTCGTGTGTGTTTTTTTGTGACGGGAAGATTTATTAAAATATGGCATCGTGCGTTTGTGGTCCAGATACCTGAGGCCTGATGACTTGGGTCCCAAAGAACTTCCTGTTGTGAAGGAGGAGGAGGAAGATGAGGAGGAAGAAGAGATGGAAACTGTTGTTGTGGGGCCTCCAGAAGAGAAGTGGGACTGTGAAACCATCATCAGTGAGTTGTGTATTTATTAACTGTAACTGCTACAGGAGGCTGTCTCAGTTCATTTTATCAGGTTCATTTTAAAACAGTAGATGGCATGTTGAGCCGTTTTCAAGCCACGATATGCAGATTTTTGTTTTCCATAAATTTTGTTCGATATTAATAGCAGCATTGACGTGTTTCATCACAGGACAGTCGTATAATTTAGTTTACAGCTTTAAAAAACACGTTTCTGTGTGCAGTAAGAGAGATCTGCAGTTCTCAGAGATAATAGTGGAAGTTCGACACACTTGATGAACTGTAACGAAGATTGTTTGGTTTATGTATGTTAATTAAACTGTGTGATACTCTTCTCTTCTTCCACTAAACATCAGGATCCAGACTTTTATGTTCTTTTATCTCTGACTATTATCGATCCGATCTCGGTGTCAGCAGACTCCGGGATCTTGGCTCTTGGTGTTTCATTGGGAGCCAAAAGGGTTAAAATCATATCTGTTCCACATCAGTGCACTAAAAGCTCATTGGGTTAATGGTTGCCTCCTGCTGTAATAAAGCGTAAAGCTAAAGTGTCAACATGTCAGAGGTGATCTTCTATATGTATTAAATGTCTCAAGTAGAGTAAAATAGTGTTTGTGTCTCGATTTCTTGGGTTTTGTAGGTTTTAAATATATGTCTGGTTTCTGTTGGTGAGAAATAAGTCATCCAGTTTTGCTTCTGATAGTTCAACAACGGATTTCAATTTTAAATTTGTACTTTTAAGTCAGGATGTTGGTTGTATTTCCTGTTGGAAACTGGAATGTGTTCTTCTCTTTTACAGTTTCCATAGTTCGTACAACGTGAAAATCAACATAATCCTTAATGTCTCTGATGTTGCAGCTTTGAAAACCTTTCTACTTACTCTATTCTGTACATATTGTATCTGTATATTTCAGTTTTTAACGGCATGTTTCTTGTCTTCTCCAGGCACATATTCCAACATATACAACAGACCCAAAGTCATTGAAGAACCAGCAAAGGTATGAATGCCCTATAAATTCTGCTTGTTAAAACAGGAAGTTCCTGTCTTGCCTCTTCTTGTAAGACAGGTATGTGACCAGCCGGTGGCGCACGTCACACCCAAGACCTGTGAGACGAGTGTACCTGTTTGTTACTGCGACGGTTTCGGCTGTAGCTTCATATCTTCAGCAGTTAAAGAAGTTGTGTGTTTGCATGAAACAACAGAACAAGATAACTTATAAAACACTGTTATACAAGACAGCGCACATACAGGTTTATATTTTATTATATTTATGTTGAGTTGACGTTTACTGAAAGTAAGACTCCTTCCGTCCTCAGTCAAAGCCGATCCGTGTGTCCATTAAGACGGGCATCCCTCTGGACGTCCTCCCCACCAAAGGCCTGACCACCAAGCAGGCGGAGCGCATGACGAGGATCAACGACTCAGACCTCCCTCGTGTCTCCACCCAGCCCCGCGACAAGGAGGAGAGCAAAGACGAGAGGAAAGCGAGGAAACAGGCCATCAAGGAAGAGCGCAAGGTGAGAAAGAAAGACAGAGAGATACGGATATATAACGGCTGACGTCACCCTGAACAAGCTAATGTTTTATTAAAGTTCATTTAGATAAGCAGCCGAGGTGAAGCCTGAGATCTCATTAAACAAGTTAAAAAGGGACTAATCTGCGTCATCGGGCCCATGTAGGTGTGTTCTGTACAACTTTGATTGACAGCGAACGCGTAGCATCAACAAACAATCCCACAGCTGTCATCACATTTTAAATTATATCTTAACTAACTTTAAACCAGTGAGTGAGTGCAGACAAAGACAGACACAGAAATGTCTCATATTAAGAAAACAGTTCCAACTGTGGAACAAAAAATGTATAAGTTCATGCAGGATTCAGTCACTAAATAGTTTATAAGGGCCTTTCTGGTGATATTCTGTGTGTTTGTTTTTATATAAAATCTACTGAAAAGACCAAAACCAACAAACAGTTAAATAAAAATATGATCTTATATGTCTAAAGTCTGATGTATCTTCCTCCTGAGGAAGAATGGTCATTCCCACTAGTTGTGATTCATATCGCAAACGCAGCATCTGTCAAAATAATGTCAATATGACGTTTTTGCCATATCGTGCAGCCCTGCTGTTCAGAGAGATTACAGATCGACAAACACATTGTCGGCCAGCACCGGGCTTCTCCCATAGCGAAGCCAAATAATTGTGCCAGTGATTTGGTTGACTAAGCACTTTTCTAAATGCACATACATCACAGATCGTCTGTGTTTATTTTGGAAAACAGCTCAACCTTGGTTCAAATATTTGCTAAATGTCATCATGACTGTTGGGTCACCTTTTAATGAGAAAAAAGGGTGTGGGCATGAGAACCGATGCCAACCATGGAAAAAAAGGTGTCAAAGAATGATTAAAACCTGAAAATATTTGCACAGTACAAGTCTAAAACTCTATTTGTGTGTTTTTAATAGGAGAGGAGAGCAGAGAAGAAAGCCAACAAGGTGGCGTTCAAGGAAGAGAAAGTGCGACAGGAGAAGCAGATGTTGAACCTGAGAACGAACGTTCAAGGCCTGAAGCTTTAGTAGCCGACTGCCGTCGCTCTGCCTGCACTGACTTTATACCCAATGATGGCGCCGTCATGGGACACGCTGCTCTTCGCTTCAGTGGAGCTGAGAGGACACCAAACGACCCCAAAGAGGACTGATAGGGGTTCAGAGAGAGGCTCTGTTTTTTAGAACAGATTTTCCTCAAATAATCATGAGATGAAGTTAATTTAACTCAAAACATAATCTACTTTATCTACAGTAAACCAGCTCAGGTCATCATTTTATAACACAGGAAAGTGAAAGGCTGGGTATCAATCTTTCTTTTGGGGGGAAGTAGAGTATTGAAAACGTCTGATCACGTGCTAATGTTGTTTACTCGTTCTCTGATCAGATCCTGGTTTAAAATCTATTTATTTTCTTGCATTGGCTGCTCGTGTTAAACCACATTTAAAGGAAAAGTTTGACATTTTGGGAAATGCTTTTTAAGCTGAGAAGATTGAGACTGCTCTCTGGTTCTGGGCTCTAGCAACCAGCTAACTTAGCTTAGCACAAAGAATAGAAGCAAGAAACTGCAAGCATATCCACCTACCAGCACCTCTAAAGCTCACTGAATAACATGTTACTTTGTTAATTATTACAAAGACACCAATGTAAAATCTTTTTATGGGGGCATATAATCCTCAAAGTGATTAGTTGTTGGTATAGTTTCGTTCAGAAGAGTGGGATCAACCTTCTCTGACTCTCGGGCCAGAAAGCAAATAAGCAAGTTTCACAAAAGGACAAATTATTTCTTTAACATTCAAAAACTTCTTCTGCTTCTTTTGTTGAATGAAAAAGAAGAAATTCTGTAAGAAATTGTTTATAATCCTCATGAAACTGAACTTTAATCTAAAAGTGTCCGTTGGTACCCAGCCTACAAATACTTCCTTATATGTGGAATATAAGACTAAATAAAATATCAATATTGTTCTCGTCTCTTTTTTATTCAGGTTTCATCACACTGTACTTTCCCCACCTTTCATTTATCAGACTGGTGTTTGCTTAATCTTCAACTGAGCGGGAATTGTTTGGCAGAGCAACATGTTGACATTCCTTCCTCTCACGCAGA